GTCAACGTTCAAAGATACTTCGCCATACTCACTCACACATCGGTACCTTTCCCACTTCGGACTACCGATTCGACCATGCTCACTCAATGCTGTTGAATGCCTCCCGCACCTATTTTTCTCTTTCGCTGGAGGGCGAGTAGTTGTAGCGACCCGGTCACTCACATACTTGACTGTTCAACTCACAGTCGCTCACTGGATCGCGAGGCTTGTCTTTTTCCTCATACGCACAAACACGTCGCATTAAGCTGACTCATCGGACATCGATTGTCTGCACCGTCTAGTCAGCGTAGCAACCACTCATGTGCCGACGCCCCACGTATAGGCACTGGGACCTACATAAAGGGAAACCGAACCCAGTCAGGACACACAGACTCGCGCGCGCGCAGGGAGCAGGACGTCAACCTCTCCACAAGTTCACGGACAACCATGGAGTACGTGTAGCAGTCTAACTGCGGAGAAAAACACGTTCCCAGCGTCCGGACTTCCACAAGGGACTCCTCATATACGATAAGTTCCCTTTTGACTTGCTCCCATTCTCGCACTGTATTTACTTTTATACGTATCGCAACCATGCTAAAAACTTCTATTAGTGCACATACACCTTCTGATTTGTATTATGGCTACCACCATCTGTGCACGAATACGAACATCCCGCAACAGGACTACATGCGCGAAGGATTGAATGACCCTGGCCAGCAATTCAAGTACTGCTCCCACGTTCTGCTTCTTTCAAACATGAAAACACGAGTCGAACGGAATCTGTCGAATTCATCAAGTCTCATCGCTTCACCAGAGGAAAGGAGCAGAGCGAGCGGAATATTGCCGGGTCGCCCAAACCAACCGAAAAATCAAGAATGCGTTCGGTGCATTTTAGGTGGATGGCCTGCTCCACGGACTCACCGGGTAAACACATCAGTCGAACATCCTATTATTCGTTGATAAATTGTGATATTAGGACCCGTTAGTAATAGTATGAGCCCAGGGGACATAACCAAAAATGTAAACAAAATGTAAATCACCACTTTGATTACTGACGTATTCGCACAAACCCAAGTTTACGACCGCAGTATTTGTGGATATTATTTCTGGGGCGGGTGACAACCGTATAATGCGCACGTTAGCTGGAAACGCTTAGTATCGCTTAACGACGGGAGTGTATGCTTGCCAGTAATTATTACACTAATTAGAGAATCACAGAAAATCGAAAAAGCCAGTGACATCAAGTGCCGTGGGTATCAAGAACTGTTTTAAACACTAGTGGTCCATCGACGGATACAGTTCCCGCCTCGAGCTATCTGACCGCACTATGCATGTACATTTCTCACTGAGACAGGTCAATGACATGTCACCTCCCCCTCCACATGTCTATTTTTCACCAACAGTGCCGCTTATTGTGACAGTTAGTGTTAACCCTCGTCTCTCACTAATATGCCGACTCAAAGGGTCACCTAGACCCCGAAACAGATGCATAAGAACCACAGTGAGAGAGTTGAATTACGCGGACAGATGAGTGGTCCGAACGCCCCAATCAAAGTCCTTGATCGGTTGGTTACCCATACAAATGTCACTGCACAGGTATTCGGTATATGGTTGTGCTACGCATGTCCGGTTATCGTCCGCTCATTGGAACGAACATGGCTAACGTGACTTCGAGAAGAGCATGAATGAGATCACGAAAAGTGTGCGCTGTCAATAAACGATGTGGCCCATGAGTCACCACAATGGGTGGTGAACAGATAGTGGAGACAAAAGGTTCATTTCCTTTATTCCTTTCACAATAGACTTTACTATAAATAAACCGTTATGGCTATAGATCTGTAAGTATAATTTTGAACACGGATATTGCTACCAAACCATACGAGTATTTTGAGTCGTTCACGTGGATGAAATAAATACGGTGCTCCAAGACTGCTGTAGCGAAATTGCAACCGACACTAACCTCACACGATGCAGCAGGACCAGAATGCAAACCACATGTGGCATGACCCGGAGAGTTGCCAGATTCGATTGGGCAGTTTCCGGTTGCTGCAGTGTACTTTGTTGGAGCGGAGTCCAACTTGTTTTGGAGGTGAAGAGCACTTAATTTCGTTAGGTAGTCAGGTGCGCTGGAGTTTGGAATGGAAGTAGTAGCAGTCCCATTTTCATTATCATCCTCCCTTTGTATGGTATTTCTCCGCGAATTCGTGGAAGAAGCCACGAAAAAGGTATTGAACCACAAACGACAAAGATTCTGAAGATCACAGAAAATCCAGTAGGGAGGCATCCGTTATATCAACCCAAATTCATAAGCATTAAATACCTTAGAGATCTGCAGAACGAACCAATTGAGAAGAGGGGGCTTTCTGAGGCTGACTTATTTCGTAGAAAAATGGACAGTGATTGCCCGGGTGTCCAAATGCATACGTAAAATGAGACGGTGTTGGTAATCGGGTTTGTACTACTATTAATTGTAACTCCAAAGTGCTATCATAGCGCAGATCAACAATAACGGGATTGTTCACCTGCTGGAACAGGCGTTTCTTGAATGCGATTGTCTATCCCGCTAATCTAAAAACTGCCGTCTGGTTAGCTATTGTGTACTACGTGGTCTTCCGAAANGAAAGGTGTTCGAAACGATTTCAGTTAGTCAGTTGTTTATCAGCAGAGAATCCGGTCCAAATCCACTACAGAAATGTGCTTCTTCCTGGTATAGCTATTCAACTTGGACAGTTATATGAACCACCACCAATAACATCCGTTCGGAACTTCATTCTATCAAGACGTATTCCAACACGAAGAAAGACCATTTACTGCACCGAACTGCATTGATCTCAAATGAACCAGACAATCATACGGCACACAGAAGGCTGTTTCGTTCAGTTATGACATCCTTTCGGTGCTCAGCTGGCATGTACGAGGACCAAGATACTGCCAAGTTGCCCAAGCTTAAACAAGAGCCGTCGACATACACGGGCCGAGTTCGAACCACGAACCTTCCGGTCAAAGGTAAGTTCGTGCCTTAATCACTGAACCATCTCGAGATCCAACACTTCCACCCTGAGTGAGTGCGATTTTATATACGTATTTCGGAGACATAACAGAGACAGAAAAGGGAAATAGAAGTTTCAACAACAAATGTCTCTTGTCCAACTGGATAGGGAGTACGGACGTGGAAAGCCGCAACACCCATTAGATATACTGAAATTAGTAATGGAGTGATTTGGTTTATATTGCTGGGAGGTCGTTTAGATATGGAACAATGGTTAGAGGACTTTGACATGGACGGACCGCAGTGGACCAGTTAAAGGGAAAGCTCTGTGGATAAGGACAGGTGAACGAACATCTGCAATGATGTAGGATACTCAGGACAGGGAAATGGATTCGTTTCTATTTAAAATTCTGACCTACAGTTCAGCTTTTAGTAGAGATTACTTGAGATGCCCTAACCGGAGCCAATGACCCGATGACAATAATAGTGGAAGTAATGCGAACCCAGAAAGCAACAATACATCCTGTACGTGCATTGATCACCTTTGCGTATCACAGAGCGGAACGGAATGCAAGTCAACGGAATGGAAATAAATACTGAATTCGTGCACAAACGAACAATGCATCTCTGGGAACAAACTAAATGATGTTCAACATGCAGGTTTCGAATATTGAATCTAACAAACCATAGGCGAAGGTTAAAGTATAAGTCATCTCGGTCAAGAATTTATAACAGACCTTATAACCAATAAATATGGAGGGAGAGAACAAACCAGAAGAATCTTTGATAGCGGAGTGACAACACCGTGGACTTACCCTATTGCGCACAGGCTGTCTGAGGCCGACCTTGACCCGTATATCACCAATCAAACATATTCGCTTGTCAGCACAAATAGTAACCGGATCATGGTAGACAGGGAGAGAGGTTAAAGTGCTGATCGTCATCAAAGGTCCTGATCCAAAACCACAGATTGGGCGCAGGGTTGGCTCACTGTGGAAGGTCACTGTTTCACGCCCTAGAGCGGAGTTGAGACTAGAACACGAATTAGCCGGAGAATTGGAAGTGTCCGCAGGCTTGTGCTTGGAAGTTAGGCCACCGAAATAGCCCGTTTTTGGGGCCAGGCCACGCGGAGAATGATGATCGGAGAGCTTGGTTTGACAGGTACACAAACAATGTTCGTCAGTGGCAGGGTATGTCTGCAGCTTGACATCGACAATAGAACCTGAGCAAATAATACAAATGGACTGAAGAGACTACGTAACGAGAGAGTTGAGTGCGGACTACCAAACCAAATTCACACTGAGTGCGCGATTATGCTCCAAGTTTGTAGCCATCCTGAATTGTGAAACCAGCAATCACAAGCATTCAACCGATACAGTCGCGAGCAACTGCGCTCGCTTTTATAAAAACTATCATACATATCTTACAAAAACTTAATCATGTAAGCAAAAGCGACTGGCTGTAGGAAAATTATCTCTGAAAAATCAGCATCCATCTGCAACCAAGAGATTACCACATGGTTAACGACGCGGGGTCTCTATCAAAAAGACGCTAGTGCTTTTTGATCCACTGGTCCTCTATAGAGGAACATTTTTCTAAGGAATGTGGTTAGCCTATTGGCTTACATCAACCCTAAGTCCGTTGCAGGTGTTTTCCAGATTTGTATAATTCACAGTCACTCCAGCGGCGTACGCTGGGCGCATCTGGATTTATGCGTCTAAACAGGCGAGCGTTTGAAGGAGCGCACGCCAAGCTACTACAGCCCACCAACTGCGAACCAGCTAGATCCTGTGCCCGTTAGTTGCAGGCGGAGGGCATCAATCCAGGGTGTCGATCATTCTGAAATTGGTGCTTATCATTCCTATGTGGAGGTATGCACTGCCGTTCTTCCGAGGTCAACCAGGCCGACACAAATTCATTCAATCCGACACGTACAAATTCATCATCATCATCGACAGCATGACATAAGTGTTCAACACCGATGCTTCACTGTCGTACAACCATGATTTATTTGAAAGCCTTATTGTAAAGAAAAGAGTAAAGGGGGCGGGGAAGGGACTTGGTGCTAGCTCACCACAATCATTCCGAGGTGCCTATACCTACAGACGCTCACTCAGGCAATCTGGATAGAAACTGACAACAAGAACGCCACTGACATCGGTTGGCAGTCATATCCTGTAGTGTCTCCAACCAGGTACAAATTAACTCTGCAGATTGGAATTAACGGACATAGTTGGCTGAAAACCAACTAAGATTATTGAGAAATGGCCAGGATGGTCATATGTGAATGCGAAGGCTGGAAGAGACCACATTGTGAGCTTTTAAGCTTATCTGAAAAGGCATTCCAGTCTACCCAATGAATACTGAATGCTGTCACAAACAGCGACTCTTACTGACAGGAGAAACCGTACTAGTCATCCAATTCCTTGCCTACTGCAATAATCTCGGGAAGGATATAGGGCGCTGGCGTTCAGCGACTGCCCTGGAGGTAGAGGCGGAAAATAGTTACAGTATATTTTAAGGTGAATCAACCATAAAGAGACAGGTATTAGTAAACCATCTTCAAAGTAGACAGAATCGTTATTCATGTTCGGAAAAGCTGTACAAAGCAGTGGATGTAGGATTCTGAAGGGCAATTCAGCTGAGCTGCAGCAACACAAACTTTAGATTACGTAATCCTGAGAAAAATATTACTGATAATCCTTCTTTAGGAACAGTGATAGACCGTATGTATCTCGCACTTCCAAAGGTGATGAAGCCTTGAGTACAAGCCTATTGTGGGCCATAAGAAACGATGATTGGATATTAACTGAACTGAGTACACACCAAAAGTAATCCCCAATTTCAAGGATGGTGCAAGAACGGTATGCGAAAACCATCGTTGTTTCATCCTGGTAGTTACAGTAATTCCATGCTTCTCGTGAAGTGAACCGCACCTTGTGGAAGGCTACAAACACCACCGCTTGGGAGTACCTGACGTCCTGTGGACATCTGAAACCAGACGCTTACGCATAAGCTACTCAAGTTGAGTGGAGAGGATTGATGTCCACCATTACCTTACACTTAACTCTATACAGTGAACGGTATGGCTGATCGGACGTTAAGTGAACAGTTGGAGACATTAACGGAACCGTCAGCAAATAGTCATTAAAAATAAGCAGTGTGTCTTTAAGTGGTCATGTGTAACTCGTACTTACGCAGCACGGCATATAAAATGTGTAGAAGTCCTGATCCAGGATTAGAACAACTTGACCTGAAATGTAAGCTACTGCACGAGATTCAAACAGTAATACAATTTTCGATCCTCTTCGCTAACCAGGAAACGACTGAAAACAGCAACAAGCACGAGCTCTGATTCAACATCAATAATACCGTGCATGGACCGATTAACACAACACCTAGTAAGAAAAACCGCAGGTAAGTCGGACACAACTGCACCGAAGTACATCAAATATGAATAAAGAAGAACGCGGGATTGTGTTACCTGGTTGCGTGCGAAGCCCGCTAATCCGGATTTCCTTTAGGTATAATGGTATTCGCCTGTAGACCAAGTTTTCGCTCAACAATGTGTCGTAGTATTGCACATATCGACGTTGACTGGGAATAGTCACACCTTTCCCATTATCCGTTCGCTTTTCCCCGTACAGTTTCAAGGCATCGGTAGCACAGGAAGCTAGACCAAGGTGAAGCAAGCAACCACAAACCATTACACCAGTACGTCCCTGGAATAGGCGAATTGAAGAGGAATGCAGGAATTCGATTAAGGCCATGGTCACAGAAAAAATATGATTATTTGTGAAACACGGATAACTGAATAGGAAATGAGCGAACGTATTATGGGTACTTAGTAAAACAGGTATACACAATCAAGGGCCGTTCGAGTCGTAACATAGGCGTGGATGCGGAAGCTAACCACATCCTCGTTAGAACTGTTAAACAAAAGTTGTGGGAAAGCAATACGAAAGCCGAAAATGTGCAGAGTCGCCAACATTTTGAAATTACTCGTGCATACTGATTAGGAGGGTGTGTATCACGTAGCAAATACACCCCAACCGTTTTTGCTGGTGACAATGCATTCATTTAGTACTGCATTGATGATGATACCAAGCTAGGTTAGCTTGTAATTGCAGTAGTCACTGAATGAATGCGCTGAGCACGACATCGTGTGCGGGAAGAAAACACATCGTTCGGACTTCACATGGATGCATAACGAAGGAGTGTTTATCTGCCAGGAATCCCATTAGCTGTGTGGGGACGGGATGGCTCGGTTGTTAGAGTGCGAACGTACTGGCCGGGAGTTCCGCGGTTCGAACCCAATCTCTGCCTCTCAACTTCCCTTTTCTAGGCTTGGGCAACCTGGCAGTATCCCAACCCACGTGCTTTCTTCTGGTGGCATGGTAGTTACGCACCGAAGGGGTGCTACAGCTGAACCCTTTTCAACACAGTTGATAGGTTCGGTACGCAGCATATTCAACCCACGAGACACCCTATATTCCAACATAGAATAGCAACCGTGGGTCATACGGCAATGAAGCATCGGTGTGGAACACTGATTTCATGCCGTCGATGATGATGAACCGTGGGTCATAACGAAACGTGATCTAGTAGTGTAAAGCTATTCTGCATTAAAGGTACCTTACAAGGCGTCCGCTATACCTAATATCGCATGATGATATTAGCCTGGCCCGCTCAATTGCTTCAAACAGAGAGACGGATAAACAACTAAACAAACTTGCTTACTAGCGTTCAGCTTTCGAAGGAGACATCACCAGTAGAGCTGATCACAGACAGGAAGGGTGCAAAAAAGTTCGAGGGACCACTGTCCTAGGGTTAACCGGTTACAGTGTCACCATGTGAATGGTTATAGCACACTGGTAAAGATATTCGTCAGCTTACAGCAGATTATAAAAAATCTTCCGAAAAATCTTCCTTCTCGAAAACCCCCAGTTTATTGCTTGTTGAGGGGATGCATATTGAAGAGACTACAACTTTTCGCCCTGCACCGACAAAAAAGCGGCTAGACTCAACTAAATGGTGGAAGCTTACTTTGCCGGCTTTGCAGTTGATGACCACAACGTTTCGTTTGTCTGAATCCAAAAACTCGGCAACATCACTGCAAAGCGCAATGATTTGCTCAAACTGTGGGGCGTTGTGGTCCCGGAACGGGTATTTGGCGACCGGGCCTGAAAACCGACACGGATCGAAATTTCGTTCGTCGCAGCTAAAAAGTACAATAACGGGGAACAGGGAAAACTGTTTAACGTGGTTTTTTTACAAAATCGATGCAGCGATTACCATGAGTGTGGTAGAAAAACAGAATTTTGCCGCAAATTACTTCGTGTCAGTATATGGAAGGTGCATTTCTGGAAGGTCTCTCAGCTACACGGATGAGCTATGCACACGTCCTGGCCCCGTTAATGAACCATATATTCGTTTCTCAGCTCTGGCAACGCCTTCATAGCTAAGTGAGTGCAATAAATTGTTCCGTTGCTGAATAAATGAGATGAGTGGAAAACTCAGACGTTTTTTCCACAGTGTAATCGAATAGGCAACACAAAAATCAACTCAAGGTTTAAATAAACGGATAATCGCGGTATCCTTCGGTATAAGCGATTCCCAATGGCATCGGATGTTGAAGAGAAGTGAGCAATATACTACCTTGGTCTACCGACGATTGTAATCGGCTTTCGAGGTCACTCTCCATGTTGCTGGACGAGGGTGGAGCGGCACAAAAATAAGCACTCACCCACATCCCACGGGTAGGGGTCTTAGTTCATATGACTATATATGTGGGTTCGGGAAGGTAGTTGTGATAGATCCTAGTTGCAAGTGAGAGTAAGGTAGCTGTGCACTTATTCCCTAAGTTAAGGCAATGGTTGACTTCAGTTAACACAAGAAATTACACTGAGAATTCAGAACACGTTAGGGAGTTGAAGACACTCTTTACGAAATATATGCATGAAAGCGCGAACAGACTAACTGAACCCCACACCCCCGTCAACGACGCACTGATGATGTTTTATCAAACGGAGACGGAAGATTTACGGGTGATTTGCCAAGCTCGACTAGCATTTCAACAGTCACTGAAAATTCACGTACTTAAAACCATACAAGTTCGATTCCATTTCGGGTTATCAGTTTGTGCTGGATGCTGTTTGGACGCATTGGTGTAACTCAGACGGCTGCTGCAGTGCCGGCAAAAATAGACCTGCGGAGCATTTTTGGGCAGCAACAAAAATAGCAAGCTCCCACAAAGCACCGGACTACACAGCGCAAAAAAACACCGCTATCTCTATGGCGATTTTCATCCACTATAGAAGTGAGGATTTTTTTACCTCAGTGAGCTGATAAAGTACCTGAGCAGAAGCTTCCCCGAAAATATATATCGAAACTAGTCAAAATTATGGTTTCCACGTCTTTATTTCGGAAATAGCGTGTGTACATGTTGTCAGGACGGGGAGAGTGACCGCTTTTGAAGATATAAATCGAAGATCACATTCGGTCGTGGAAACAGTTGTCCACGACCATTTACACTGTCACATGGCCAGAAACACAAATATAGAGGTAAGAATGAAGATATAGGACACACGCCTTTCGGCACATGAGTCTAAACATGTAAGCTGAGTACCTCTATACCACGTGGATGTGGACTAAGAGTCTCGTATCATGTGAGAGCAAGATAGCACCGGAGAGATAATGGTGGTGCGGTTTTTATATCCTCTGGTATGCAGACAACAGATAAACCAAGAACCACATGTCGCAAGTTTTTCAGATACCCTGAGAGGACTACTAGCTGAAAGTAGCGACAATCCTATGGATTCAATGATACTGGCTGCGTTGTAGTCTGACCACCAGACAACATGCACCAGTTGCAATTTGGTGTGGGCTCCCGAACACCAAACGCCCAAAATAGCATGCCAAATGTGGTACTCTGAGATGGCGGCCGTGTTTTAGTCCACAATGCGAGATAGTTTCTGCACCTCGGTAGGCACCCAGTGAACATGTTGAGGAGCAAAGTATCTTGTGATTGAAGATCTGTGAAGTAACGGGTTGTAATCAGCTGCAACCACCGGCAATCTGGGAAACCCATCTACCTCGTTCGATCAACTAAAAGTAGATCCATCTGTTGCCAGGGCAACACATGAAACGATCCAATGGGTGTATCTCTAGTATCGACCGCGTCAACACCTTCCTATACCTTACACACAGCTTTACCTTCCAGCAACCGGTTAGGACGGACGCAAAATGTGAATACCAGTACCCAATGGTTCTTGTTGTGTTGGTAGAAATCCGCACAGCTAATTTTGTCCCACATGCTATCATATATTGTACGGAAGTCTGGAGGCATTTTACTCACTCGTACTCAGCGGTCGTGGATGTCTGCTTAAATCTAATGATGCCTCTTTAACAACACATGCGCTGACGCTCAAACCGAACATCATTTGAATCTTAGTTATTACAAATCCGAACGCCCAGCACACTGGAATACCAAGGCACTGCACTAGTGACACAGTGGCTGGCTGCTTCAGCATCCCAAATCTCAGGTAACTACTGCAGCAGCGACAGCCTTGTTGGCTCGGTTACGCGGCCCGAAAACCAGAATGGAAGCTTAGCAAACACAGTGGTTCTTTCGCCAAGCCCGGGGTGACGTTAGTGACTTGGAGGTCAGCTGGAAGCCTGGATTGGCACCGCTGAGTTAGATTTGTAGAGGTTTAGCCTCAATATCCGTTGCTAGATCTCGACCTGTGATCGCCGTTCGTGAATAACAGTGGTGCGGGATGCTTATAGGGCCAGTCGGCGTAACACAATGTACCGACAACACAATGTACCGATACTAAGTGTGCGCTTACGTAGTTTACGACGAGATGGATGGGAAAGTTGGAAGCTAGCAGCAACATGAATGTCGTATCGTGGGTGGTCATCTATCGGTTACGCCGGAACTTAGCCTGCCAGACAACGCAATAAGGGAAGACAAAGAACCCAAGACACGGCTGTGTTTTCATACATACACAGCTTCTGCGTAAATACACGGGATGGCTAAATGGCCAAATATATATGATCATTCGGTTGTTCGTTCTGTCCAGTCAATGGTGACATTCCTACAATGATCGATTTCGCACCCAATCCGCTGTTGATAAGCCGCGTTTGGTAAGCTCCGCCAACGCACCTGCTATCCGGATCGCGTAGTACAGACGTTGACCTTGGGGACGCGTAGATCTCCGCACATGTACTTTTCATGTCTGGACATCTCCTGACAATTGACAAGTGTCCTGTGTGCAGTCCAGAAGGCGCAGCGACAGCCGGTAGCAGAGAATGTGACCAGGTGAAGACATTCGCAGAAGCGCAAGTTAAAGACAACCGATGGTGGTATGGCCCATTTCGCTCCAGCGTTACACTGTGCCGCTAAGAGGCCGAGTGTGGAAGTTCATACTAAGAAATACTTGTGACAAATGGATACAGATCACTTTCACGAAAAGTCGTAATATGTGGGAAAGATGTGTCAAGAAACCGGGTCGCCAGTGCCAAGAGTTGGGTTAATCAGCAAGCTCAATCTCCGGTCTTTAAAAAGGCTTTAAAAGCTATAGACGAGGGATGTCTGACTTATTACGAAATATGTCAGAAAAATACATTTCAAACTTACTAGGAATATTCAACAAACTGATTATTCTGACCCTCACTTCCTTCCATCAATGGAGCTAATTCGAGAAACCTAGTACACATGCCTAAAATCCTAGCCTTCATAGAAGTGCATCATAACCCCAACCGTTTCATCCTAATTTTTGTACATGATCTAGCTTCGGAATCTGTAGATGCGTGACCTTCCCCTGCCCTCATCACCCATTTGGGTAGCAACTGTCAGACGGCAAATCAGCACTGTTCCAACTGCCATATAACCGCTTAACATAATAGAGTCGGAAGTCCCGTGTTGTCCGAGCGGGGAGAAAAGTCATTAGGGCCATATGCCAGATGGATCTCGATATATTCAGAGGAATCACTCTATTATGGATCAATTCAGTTTTTCAGTACCAGACGGACCCTCGAGAGCTTACTTCTAAAGCCTGGTGCAAATAAGCCGACTCGAGTGAGTTAAGAGAGAATGGCATCGACTGGTATCAGACACCGCAACAGATTCCATGATCATGTTAGACAACCGGAATGATGTCTGCAGTCCGATTGGCTTTAGCCATGTGGCATGTACAGTGACATCTAACCATGTATGGATCGTATGGACGGTGGTTGAGATATGAGATGCTTACAGGCAAGGGAAAGATGGTATGGTGGAACCTGCTGGTAGGCGGCGGGGACAACATAACGGAACTGGTCTCTCAGACACATTCGACCTTACCCGCGCTCTTGGAGTTTACTCTCAGTCCAGGCCCTGTCATTTACCACTTATTCCAGCTTCAGCGTATGGTCGGATGTAAGCGAGACCTAGTAGTTATCTAGAACGACGAACGGTGTGTTAAAAAAAGATTCACCTGCTTCAAAGAGTAAGACGAATCGCAGACAGAGTTTAAACGCAAACAAAAAAAGCTTAAAGCAATACCAGCATGACCGCACACTAAAAAAGATTCGTGGGCATGCCATTATAGCGCTGAAGGTCAACAGTAATGGCAAGATTACGTCAATTGCAGAACATGGAGGCAGTTACATTCCAGAACGGATTGGAAGTCAGGTGATTACCGAATACCGGTACACCAACAGTAGCTGTATTTTTATAATCAGGAACAAAAAGTCAGACGATCGAAGGTAGCAAGGAAGCGCAACCGAACTTGGCAGACAATATCTCGGAGTGAAACACAGAATCGAACGAGCGAAGCTACATATCCTAACGATAGGAACTGTGCAAGTGGCTTCCGATACTGATCAGACAAAAACTTGGGAATACTACATATTGTCGAGATGGCTTATGGTTCCACAGAAGAGAGCAGAAACACCCTAGTTGAATAATGGTGTCAGTAGGGTTAGTGAACAGCTGCATAAAATAAGTAACGTTCATTAGAGCAACAAAACAAGCGCCAAACACCGGCGAAATCTATGTATCACAAAACACACCAAAACATCAGAACGGGTATGAATAATTGCAGAGTTTCATCAAGTAGTGTGAGGAACAGGTTGCGTAAGTGAATTATTGTGATGAGCTTCGAGTGGCGAGATACAATTCAGTCGAAGTGACGAAACGTGGAGGCATGTGATTCTATAGGAATAAGAAAGATTTGTGGATTTGAAAAACACCAACGTCGCGCCACTGAGATCTCCCCAAAAGGGTGAACTGCTTTTAGAAGGCTGTACCGGGGGGTTAGGAACAGAACACCTGGTTGAATATCAACATCCGGTCTCATAGTTCCAAATTAACATCCAAACAATACCACGATTGGTCAGAGGTCTTGGAAATGTCTTTTTTTAGACGAAACAGTCAGTTATTGTGCAGTTTGTACATTACGTCAGTGAGCAACTTTCAATTCAGTCCGCCACGCCGAAAATACCTAATGTACTCAAAACCGATTGGCCCAACCCGGTCCTGTAATCTTCTAGTGAAAATACACCTTAAAATGTCACGATGTGTCATCATCATCACAGTCCGCTGTAAAAACTGTGTACTTGCCGTGCAATGGTTCTAGTAGCCACCGGTTCGTTCATCGATGATTTGAAGAGGTGCGGTAGACAGCTGCGCATTGGAGGTGGTAGCTGATATAATTGATGCATAAATAGGTTGTCAGTGGATTTTCAACTGCGGAGATTGGGAGGGGAGCTATGGACTGAAGGCAATAGCTTGGATGCATTAGTGCCACTGAGGGCGCAACTGGGCCATGTCTGACAATGCCTCGGGATCCTCATCCAGGAAGACCGCAATGGCCAGCGCAAATAAGTTTGCTGGTGGTGGCTTTCGTACTTCGCTGCCAAGTCCTTGCTTGACCTACTTTGACTCCTATCTACCCTTCGTGTGGTTGTGCGGAAAGAGCCGTCCGACGAAGTCGGTGGACTGGCACATGGAGTACGTGGCCAAGCCAGCGCAATCTATGCAGTGTGAACAATTTATCTATCGTGGATGAGTTATTTCTCCCGAAAGCCATCCGACATACTTCAGCACTACTGATCCGGTGTTTTCATCAGACTCGGGTGATGCTCCGAAGACATCGATGGTAAAACACCGCAAAGCTTTTGACGTCCCACACGCAGAGGTCAGGCTGCTGACCCATATAGTTATATGGAGCGCACCGCAGCACTGCAAACTCGACCCTTGACGGATAAGCTGATGTCATGCCTACGCCACAGGTGACGCAGGTTCACAAAATCTGCCCCGACGTTCCCGACCCGGATGGAAATATCACTTTTCGCGAGACGACAGGATACAGCTGCACAAGTAGACAAATATGTCTACTACCCCAATCGGCTCATCCGCAAGCATGAGGTTGGAGCTCGAGCCCACCCAGTCTTGCAGCAGCACTTTACACCTCGCAGGCGTGAAGTGCATGTCAGGCAGAACGAGTCAGATTACTTAATATCACTGCATTACCACGTCATCAAATACAAGAACCGCTGGGTCGTCTGCGTACTCGATGTTTGTGAGCCTCACAAGCACTTCGACCCCACGTGAATCAGAGGCTGGTAGTGAGTCTTCCGCAAGCGTATCAACGACGAAGTTGAAGAGGAAAGGTAAAAGGGACAGCCTTGCCTGATACCACTTGATGTGGTGAACTCAGGCAAGAGCCTAGCGTGGATCTTCACACGTCTGCGGGAGTTGATGTACAGCGCCTTAAGGAGGATCAAGAGTTTATGGCGGATACCTTTGCTCCACAGACAGTGCAAGAGTGCCTGACGGTCCACAGAGTCAAAGGCAGCTTTCAGATCAAGAAACGCAATCATTGTTGGCTGCTGGAAGCAGTGTCGCTGTTCCAGAATCTGGCGGAGGGTAAAAATGTGATCGATGCATCCACTTGCAAGACGGAATTCAGCTTAGTTTTCACAGGTTAGTCTTTCCTTGTGTTCAGTCAACTTTGAAGTGTAAGACCGGAGAGGGCCTTCGATGCCACAGCTACCACACCGGCGCAATTGTAGTTTTCAAACAATGTCTGCGTACCCTTTCTGGAGATAAGAATAACTGTGGACATACCCCATTCTGCAGACACTTTCTCTTCGATCCATATCGTACCAATAGGCTTTGGTAGATAGATCACTAAGGACTGAGGGCTGGATACAGACCTCCCGGTTTTGATGCTTTTTCAAGCTTCAGTAAAGATGTTTTGCACTTTATTCATTTAGACGGATGACTAAGGTTTACACTCCATTCGCCCAGGTGCACTATCTCCAGAGGTTGTTCTGTAGAAGTCCAATCAAGCTGTCTTCGAGGAGTTCGGCCCACTTTTTCAGTGGACGCTTTTGCGAGCGAATTATTCAGACACCTTCTTCACTTACCGTTTTACTGATCGTTGCTTTCCTGGGACACAGCCATCTCCCGTGCTTCCGATGTCCACCAGAACTCTCGGTCTTTCCTTAGGCTCTTCAGAATTTGGCGTTTAAGGGGTTTGCGTGCACCGTCGCACTCGCTGCCTGTAGGTATGGACAACCGTGATTTATTCGAAAGCCTTGTTGTGAAGAAAAAATAAAGTTGGATGGAGAAGGGACTTAACGCTAGCTTACTACAATCACTCCGAGGTGCCTACACTTCCAGACACTCATTCAGCCATTCTGAATAGAAACTGACGACAAGAACGCCATTGATATCGATTAGCAGTCGTATTTTGCAGCGTCTCCAACCGGGTGCAGTTGGGATCACACAGTCATCATCCTGGAAGGAGAGTACCACAGACAGTACCAGAACGTTTCTTAATCTCTTTCATACCCCTCCGCCAAGTCAGGGGTTGGCCACCAATCTGCTTCCACCACTGTGGATTGGGCAAGGGAAACATTCCTTGGCAAACGATGGTTCGACATGCGCAATACATGACCTAACCAACGCAGATTCTGGTGCTGGACACATTCTTCAACGGAGTTCCCCGTTGCATAAATGAAAACTCGCTTCCTAATTGTGTCGTCACGGATCCGCCGATATCACTCCACACGAGCCCCAGTTCTGAGACAGCTGTTGTCAAACACCTGAATTTCTGCGGCTCGAATAGGCCAAGTCTCACAGCCATACAATAAAACGGCCTTACTATATTCCCATGCACACCCCTTGAAAATCAGGGATATACCAGCGTTTTGAAGACCTCCCAGCGTTCGCCTCATTATATTATCGATCAAGAAGTCAAATAGGAATGGAGAGAATGGACATCGCTGACGAACACCGCAATGTGTACGGAAGCTCTTAGTGAGCTCTCCATTTACACTCACACGTCCGGAGGTCTGAGAATACAAATAACTCCTTAGGTTCACGACGTCCGGGGCATTCATTGATGGATAAGCGTGTCAAGGAAAACAGACTGGTTAGTTGAGTCGAATACGTCTCGGAAATCCAGTGATCATCATCACTGTGAGTCGCTTTTACGTATAGCGTTGTTCTGGCACCTGACAGAGTGTGAAAATTTGGTCAACATCAGGTCGGAATCCCGCTTAACGCTCTTGAGTTAGTGTTTCACAAACCACTGCAAGGCGACGAAGCACAAGTGACGCCAACAGTTTCGTTACGACAGAGATCCGGTTGGTACCCTGTGGTCACCACACTCAACACGAGCCCTTTTTTTAAAATGGGCACTAGCACCGACTCTCCTCAGTTATCTGGAACAGTATCCTTTTCCTAAGTGCAAACAGATCAAAAAAGTGCTGACTAAGGACAGTGCGGGTGGCAGGTCATCTGGACCAGAGGCTCGGTGGCGCTTTAGAGAACATATGTAGTCATAAACTTCCAAAGCTGTATAGGACTCCAAGTTTACAGTTCAGGATTCTACGTCAGCTGTAGGCTCCAGATGAGTGGCAGCTGGTGGCCACTATATCTGTTGCTCGGAGTATTCGACCCAAGTAACCCGATAACACCTTGGTATAGTTGTAGCTAAAATGAACATACCCCTAGAACATTATAAAAGTTGTCAAGGCCGACGCGCACTATCATGACGCATCACACAGAGCGGTCGATTTCGATATTTCATTGATACTTACGCCACTTTCCGAGTCTCCAACCCGTTTTGGACGTTCTCTTTAGTCCTCAACGTTCCATTCTCAAGCAGTTTGTGACTCAATGACATCGCTTGGGGCTTTCATATGGTCCTTGAAAGCTTCATTACTTCTTGGGACACCGGACCGGCCACACCTTGGCCAAATAACGCAACTGAATTTGCACGTGCCCTTTCGCCAAGAGGTTCGTTTGTTTCTCGATCGAGTAGTGAGAGGGCTTCTTGATGTATTGCCCTGACCACTAACACGTAGCCTCTTAACACTGGATTCTTGAAACCTTGACGGCAATCTGTCCGATTATCCTGAAGGATCTTGGGCAGTCATCGACCGAGTTAAAGGCTTATGGTCCGTCTTGACAGTAAATCCTGCGGCAAAATAATAATAAGCCGAGTTTGTTAAACGGCAGAACCACTCGGCAGATGCACTCTTTTTTCGGCTATGAAATGGTTCATTTCCGCTGCGGTGAACACTCTGCTTACACATTATTTTGACAGCCCGAGCAGATCCGCTCCATACGCAATACCACTGACATCTACGGAAACGACAAACGTTTCGTTACGTTTGAGGTAGTTTTGGACACTTGTGTGTTAGCAAAAGGACAAACCGGCCGGTACAAATTCAAACAATGGAATTTAGTTGAACGATGCGCTCATATATTATGCTGCGCTTGAAATTACGGTTTCAAAATGCTGAGTGTTGTGCTTGTGTCACCAGGAGTTATGTCCTCCTAATCCTACTTATCGTGTTTCTCCGGGCGAAGCGAAACATGTTTTCCAGACAAGACAGTGTTGATTACTAGCCCCAAGTAACGCGAAAAGAATGGAAAAAATGGCGCTATTTTACCCTCAATCATTTAACTGAGATCGTCATCGATACAACGAATCTCTGCGTATTCTAAACAGTTATCTACTTCGAGGCTGTCTTCCCGATCGCCGCCTACATGAAAGTTGGGTAACGTAAATCTCGCCTTCCGGAAAGCATTCACTGGTATATAGAGACTAACTGCGTTCCAGTCCTGTCGAGTTAAACGTACTGTCCGTAGCACATTCATGCGGTGGTCTATTACAAATTCCCACATTACTTGACAAAACTTCCACCGGACAGACTGCTCCCTGTTTCATCAGACGGATAAGGGGTGTGCTATTCGCAGGTGAATGTGTTAATTAGACATTGGAAAAGTCATTCTGTACCCGGTGTTAAGAAACATTACCGATCAGTATGAGTATCCAGCTTTTCTGAATAACCATCTTCCCATTCACTCTCATGATCTCGACGGAGCTCAGTGGTAAACGCGAGAATCTGCCAACCGGAATAGCCGTGGTTTCAACACAACCCGTGCTTCTCGAATGTTCCTCTCTGAAAGAATCTAAGTTCTCGTGCCACATTTTATTCCTTTTTCGTTCACATTCATCATCCAATCACTCTGTGCAGGCTAGTAGACAAAGTGAGGAATCTTCATTTTTT